AGGAGGAGGAGGAGGAGGAGGAGGAGGAGGATAAAGGCCAGGGTTGCTGTTCTATTCAAAGCTCCTGGCTTCTGTCACCTGTACCACAAAACAAAGGAACAGAAAGAATTCATGTGCAAGGCAGGCAAATGACTCAGCCTCAAGAGGCCCACGGTGAGCGATGTCGTCCGTCCGATGCTTCACTGTGTGTCCTTACTTGGCTCTTGTTCCAGACATTCATGATCAGAACAGTAAGAAGCCAGTGATGGTCTACATTCACGGTGGATCCTACATGGAAGGAACCGGGAATATGATCGACGGCAGCATTTTAGCCAGCTATGGGAATGTTATCGTCATTACCATCAACTACCGCCTGGGAATATTAGGTAAGTGGCTCAGTTCTCCAAAGAATAGGGCAAGAGGCAATGGGAAAAGGCTCCCTTTCGCCTCGACGCCGTTCTGGTGGTTTTTATGGTTGTGGCTTTTTTCCTTGGTGTGCTTCTGCTGGACACTTCCATGGTTGTTTTCAAGTTGGTGCTTTGAGTTCTATCATTTGATTTTTCTGCTGGACCTAACACCCTGCTCAAGTCAAATGACCCCTTAGAGACAACCGGAAAGCATAAGAGTTTAACTAAAGGAAGTTTGCTCTTTGAAGACTTGTTGGTAGACATAGATTTGAATCATGAATGCATATTTGCTAATGGCTCTGGATAACAACCGTTGATAGTGGTTTTTTGTTTCTCATTGTGCAGTAGAATGGGTCATTTTATGTATGGGAAAATGCTTCAACCAGTTTTGTAATTAGTTGTGTGTGTGTGTGTGTGTGTTGAACTTTGAAAATCTTTGACATTGTCTGGAGAGATAGCTCAGCAATCTAAAGCACCTGTTTAGGCAAGTTTAGGTAGATGCAGGGGACCATGGTTCGATTCCCTGCACCACATGCTGTGCCAGCCCTGCTCCCAGGGTGGGCTGAGAGGGTCAAAAAAAAAATTTGGTGTTATTCTATTATTGAATTTGTATGCAATGTCACATATCTCTTAACTGAATTTGTTTCCACGTTAAAAATTTTTCTTTTCTTTCTTTCTTTTTTTTTTTTTTTTTTTTTTTTGCGGTACCGGGGATTGAACTCAGGACCTTGCACTTGCCAGGCAAGCACTTATTCTACTGAGCTAACTCCCCAGCCCTGCTTCCACATTAAAACATGGTGAAAAGACATAAAGTCAAGATCATTCCTTGTTGAGGCATTTGGTCACTTACCTATAACTCCAATTTGGAAATTTACAAATTGATTGAGAGAAGGAGTTTCAGATTTGCCTTTCTACCAGGTGTTGCCTGTTGTCTCCTTCAAAAAAGATATGCATAGACTTATGCAGAAAGTATTTGTTTGCAAAGCACCAGTACTTCAAAGTGGTGTGGAAGGAACATTACTGCTCAACATGGCTAAGAGAGGAACGTGTCATGTCGAACAATGACGTTGGTGTTACAAAACGTGAATGGAAGGGGATGGGGTGGTCTATGCAAACAGGAAATGTGGCTGGAACCATTTTCTCCAAATAAGTAAATATCACCAACTGCATGTTGTTTCCATCTGGCTGATTTAACTTCATGTTGACTGGCTCTTTTCACTTTTACAAAGACCCTCAAGAGGTGACAAGGGCAGACTTACTGGACTAGAAATCTAGCTTGAAAATGTTAAGACATAAGTGGTCCTACGGTTGTATCTGTTGTAAAGTTGGTGAAACACTTAGCATTTGACATTGTTTTTCTTTCTTTTTTTTTATTTTATGGAACTGGGGATTGAACTCAGGCCCTTGCGCTTACCAGGGAAACGCTTATTCCAGTGAGCCATCTCCCCGGCCCCGACATTGCTTTTTTAGAAGGACAAATACAAATATAGAAGGTATTTAGTGCCAAGAATGTCATTTCATAGTTTTCATTTTTTAGAGTTTTCCAAAAGGTGAGTCTTAATTATGGCTAACTTTTTATTTATTTATTTTAAATCTTATATATATTTATTTAATACACGGTTTTGCCACACAGCTCTGACTCGTAGTGATCCTCCTGTCTCAGCTTCCCCAGCGCTGGGATCACAGGCATGTGCCTGCATACCTGGTCCCCACAAGGCATGTGATATTGGAGATTGAACATGGATCCATGAGCTTGCCAGGCAGGTGCTTAGACAGCTGAGCTATCTCCCAGGCCCTACAACTAACTTTTGAATGCCTTTATGAGCGCTTCCACAGATTGCTGTCCAGGGCTTGGGCTACTTATATTTGAAGCAGGAAGTTGTGGTTCTTGAAGTTTTACAAAAGACCCATTCTAGCAAAGACATGGAGAGAAAACTTGGTGGGCGATCATTCTAGGAAACAGAGTTGGCTAAGTGCTTCATACGGTCATGGCCACTGAACAAAGGCTTGCGTTGGTAAAAATTGCAAAGTGTTTTGTTGTGTAAATGATGGGAAGAATTAACTGGAGTAATAACTTTCCAAGAAAATGATTTACTGTTCTCTTCAATGCCAAACTGCAACAAGCAGCTCACTGCTGCGATCCCTTCGATTGCCCGATCTGCAGTCGAAGGCAACCGGAACAAAGTGGCCCGTGACTGATATGCTTATGTTTTAAGAGGGAAATAATAAAATGTTGAAAAATGTGAAGGGTATCTTTTGCTATGAGGAGCTTGAAAGAGGAACAGTAATAACGGGGCTGTGACAGTAATAGCCAGGGTATAAAAGCAGAGATTTAGCTTGTCTATGCCACAGCGTATTTACCTCCACAAATGAGCTCTGCTGGAAAGCCAAGCTCCCAACAGACCTGCCTTTATTTCATTGGGTCCCATGTGCCAGCTCTGCAGATGACCTGGGGGAGATAAGAGACCGTAAAATGTTCTCTTCCTTTATCCTCATCATGAATTCTACAGGAGAATAACCATAGTCCATAGATCGCATGGCGATTTTTTTAAATTAGTTGATCAGGGTACGAGACATGGGCATAAAAATTTCTCCAATTAATGTTTATACATATCTTCCCTTTTAATGAACAATACAAATGTTCATCAGTTAACAAATAGATAAAAAAGATGGGGCATGTTTACACAGTGGAATGTCATTCAGCCTTAAAGAAGTAAGGAGAGAAACTGCAAGCCAGTTATACTATCAGTGTCTTTAGTCTGAAATTTTTATAGCTCATGAGTAATATCTATACACCTTTTAAATCTCTTATTATTCATTTTTTTTGGGTGTCACATTAGTACTACTGACCTATGTTGTTGCTGTAAGTAGGCACATTTGCATAGCCAAATCCTATCTATGACCATTGTGCAAATGAAACTATAGTAATTAAAAAATAAGAGATACTTCTATAATTAAAAAATAAGAGATACTTCTATGTGTTCAAGAGATACTTTTACACACCCAATAAATCAGGAGATCATCAAAACTGATTTGGTAGTATCAAGGGTTGTCTTCCATAGATACTGTCCAATCCCATCTTGCCAGGCACTAACTACAATATTTGTGATCCAAAACACCACACAGAGTTTCTAATATGCTAAGAATAAACTGGAATCCTCCTGGGCCACTTAGAATGGGTCATCATAACTAGTTGTTTAAGGTCTTGGCAGTGATTGAACCAAGTTGTTTATATTTAAGGTGTTGATTCTCTTATATACATTCCTGTTTATTCTGCCTCATGGTTTGGACAACAGGAAGGCATCCATGTCTGTTGCACTTGATATATTCTTTCAACTTGAGAAGTTTAGATTAATGAAGTGACTCTGCAGGGAGCCAGGTTGCTGGCTTGTAAACATCGTGAGCCTGTGCAAGAGGAGAACATGAATATTGTGAGTACTATACCAGCCTAAGGGTGGGTAGCCTGCTTAAAATATGAGGGCGGAAAAAGAGTCCACCTCCTCCTTGCTCTTGCTGCTTTTGCTGTCTTCTGCTGCCGTGAGCTGCTGCCCTCTGCCAGGGGCCATCCTGCCTTGGAGCCAACTGGTTACGGACTGAAACCTCCACAAACTGTGAGCTAAATAAACCTTTCCTTCCTTAATATTGTGCATTGGGTATTTGGTCTCGGCAACAAGAGAAAAATAAGAGAATATCTAAAGTTTTGGTGCAACTAATCTTCACTAGTACCCAACAGGCCTGCCACCTGGAGGGTCTTGGTGTGTGTGGTTGGAAACACTTTCCTGCTACCATCGTCTGAGCCCATGACACACCTTTGTATGCCTCCAGCTCACAGAATCTCTAGGCATCATTTATTTCTAAGGAAACTAGCTAGCTAAAGAGATAATTCAGAGGCAGAGAGATTCCATCAGGATTTAATCCCAGAGTTCAGAAGTAATTATGAAGAATTCATATACTTCCTCCAGCCCTGGTGCCTTGCATTAAGATAACTTTGGTACTCTCCACTCTGATTTTGTGATTGTTTCTCAAAATGATGGCCAAAAGTTCTTTGATGTGCTGCAGAAGAACGTATCTTATCAATGTGTTCTGTAGAAATGTAATCCAACTTATCTGTGTATGGCTCAGCCTCCCCAAACTCTAATTGATAATGCCTCGTCTGAATGAATTTATATCATAAGGTGGTTTGCTCTACCTCCCTGAAGTATTTTTCTTACTGGTGAGCTTAGAAAGTATGCCTCCCCTGAAATCGACATCTTACGGATGCTCAAATTAACTGTCGCTTTTACACAGCCACAGCTATTTGCTCAGAACCGTATCATTGAATGCCTGCTGCCCAGCGGGCAGGGGAATTTCGTAAATGTTATGTCATTTGATCTTCAGCCATGTCTTACCCAGGGGGAGATGAAGCATAGCAGTAGTGACATCTAGTCTTGCTTGGATGACTCTCCTAAAGACCAGTGGTAGGATTAAACCTCAAAACCAACTGAAGCCAAAGGGCTTGGTCTCACCAACAATCTCCAGCATTGTTTGTCAATTTCAACTATGAGTTGTTAAACTCGAGAGTATGTTCATGAACAGAATATCTCTTCTGCATAATATACACTCTGTAATTCTGGACACAAGAAAGAGTCAGACGTGACTGTCCGTTGACTCAGACATAGAATGGTAATGAGATGACCTTCTTTTAAGACATGGTCGATGATTTGCTATCCTGTAAACCGGTGACAATGTCAGCCCAGATAATAGCTTTGGACACATGGAATTTTGTCCATGCCGCAGCGTTCTGATTTTATCAGGAGACTGGGTAGCTAACGGCCAATTCCAATTAACTGCTCCGCTTGCTGGGTGTTCCCTGTGAATGGAGACCAGTGAGGTCACTGAGCCAGCAACTTGAATGCGTTTCTTGTCCAATGGCTGGCTTATGGTTTTGAGAACTGCTACCCGTGTGAGTTTCTGTAACTAAATGTCCTGATATTATTCAG